TCCTACCTATGTCTCCCAGGGCTGAAGTATTTATGTTTAAGGCGTATAGTGGGGCTCTGGAAAGATGGCTCAGTGGTTAAGAGGCCCTTGCTTTCCAGCAGCCTCATGTTAGGTTCCCAGTACCTGAGCCAGGCACAAAACCCAGCTCACAGCTGCTTGCAACTTTAGCTCCAGGGAGATCTGATGGCTCTGGCTTCGGTAGGCACCTGCATCCACATGCACATACCCACAACACATACACAATTTAAAAAATAAAAATAAATTTAAAAACTGTATCACAGGGGCTGGCGAGATAGCTCAGAGGGTAAAGTCACTTGCCTAACAAACCCTGAATTTGATTTTGAAATCCCACAGTGGAAAGAGAACCAATTCCTGAAAGTTATCCGTTGACCTCCCCATGTATGTCATGGCACATGTGCCTGCACTCACACACACATATCACATACAATAATAATTTAAACTTAGATAATGAACTGTCAGATGTGACATGACAGGTGAGTGAACCCCAGGACATTTGTTTCTCACTCCAAAAGACCAGATTCTCTCACAAAGTCTGCGTTGTACTCCCTAGCATTCATTCACGTAGCACACAGTGAGAGCCGTCAACGTGTTATGCGCATTGCCCAGCACTGAACACACAGCGGTCCTCAGAAGGCCAAGTCTCTGCTCTCACAGAACTCCAGCCTTCTCAGAGGTCCGTTCGTTTCTTGGGTCTCTGTTCCTTAATATATTCCTTTTATAAATATGATCTTGACATTATTCCTAGGTAAACAAAATCTCTGGTATTATTATGCTAAAAACAGTTTGCCTATTCTCAGATTTCAGCTCCAAGAAGGAGGTGAAGGTGTTCTCATGACTTTAATTTGCCCTGCAATACTGATCACTCTTCAGTAGCTTCGAGATCTTGTTACCCCTTTAAATCTCAAAACTGACCCATAGTCATTCTCCTCCTCCATCCACCTTCATACTTTGCTACTTCTCACATCTTTTTAAAGGTCTTGGCTTTTGAGCCAGGTGGTGGTGGTGCACGCTTTTAATCCCAGCACTTGGAGGCAGAAGCAAGTGGATCTTTGTGAGTTCAAGGCCAGCGTGATCTACAGAGCAAGTCCCAGTACAGCCAGAGCTGTTACACAGAGAAACCCTGTCTCTAAAACCAAAATAGAACAAACAGGCGAACAAGCAAACAAAAAGGTCTGGCTTTTATTTGTGCCAGTAACATCCTACAAGCTATCATATAGGACTGAAATGTTCTGCTTTGTACTTTGCTTCACATGGCTAGTTTCTTTTGCTAGTCATCTTTCTTAATCATTAAATTTTTTCATATCCCTAAAGAAGCTAGGCATGGCTAAAAAAATTAAAAATAAGAAGCTAGACATGAGACTTCCTCGTCTGCATTGCCGTAATAATCTATATCTTCTTCTGTGCTGAATGTCTACATATTTGGAAGATTAAACATTCTTATTTAGCCAGGTTTAATCTGGAAAAGAAGGACAGAGAAGTATTAATGCAACAGAAAGCAAACAACACAGTAACTGGTGTAATCATAGACAAATAGACAGACTCAATAGGAAGCTATAACCTGAGTCAAGTGTAAATAGGAATGTGATGTATGATAAATAACATTTCCCACAGGCTACTGAAGGGCACTATAGAGAAAAACTAGCTCAGCTCTAGAGCAAAAAAGGAGGCTGACAGCAACCTCCCACCATCTCAGGGTGCACCAGTCTAGGTGTGCCTAGAGAGGAGGAAGGGGGGTAAGATGGAAGTGAAGAAAATATAGACTATCTTTCTGATCTTGAAATGCAGATTGGGTTTTTTTTGGGGGGGGGATCATCCCCCCCACCCCGTCCTGGAACTCGCTAGGCTCAAACTCAGAGATCCGCCTGCCTCTGCCTCCTGATAGCTGGGATTAAAGGCATGCGCCACCACCCCGGCTCTATAACCACTACTGAGAGTGATCAGACTATATTCGCCAGCTATGTGAGAAAACGGAAAGAATTAAGAAGTAATGGAAAGAATTAAGAAGCCGGCTAACTCCTAGGGGTGGGGGATGGAAAGATGACTGGAGACAAAATAGCATAAAATGATACAAACCTGTAGAAAATGTATCGTTATCAGGAGTAACTGAAACTGTTTCTCTTCTGTTTCTTTTCTGCTTAAAGTGCAACAAATATCCTTTGACAATTTTTTGTTGCTTCAGATATTATGCTAGGTCAAGATGAAAAGGGAATTAATTTGATGCTCAGCATATTTGAAGATGAGAAAGACTAGAAAATAAAAAAATTAACTTTTATTCTACATCTAGAAACCAAACGGCTATTAAAACCATATTAAAACCATGAGGAGATGGAGTGTGAGCAATGAGGAACACCACTCTGTGCAAAAGGAACAGCATTAATAGTGACAGGATCTTGAAAGACCAATGTACTTTGGGAAATGTGAAGTAACAAATGCCGAGCTCTAAGATGTCCATGCTGGTGGTTAGTATTCTCCGAGTAGTACTATTACTGCATTAGCCAAATTTCTGTCTCTGAAGAGAGGTCTAAAGAAAATGAAGGAAGTAACACAGACTGAGTAATTGCATAAGACAGCAAAGCACGGGGGCAGCCATGACTTAAGGCCGAGTGCTAACAAGCACTGTAATACGGAAGGGGAGGAACTGCTATTACTCTCGGTGGTGAAGGGACATTTCTTGGAAGCTTCATTTTTTCATTCGGAAATACAGCTGATCCTTGTCACTCACAGAGTTTATATTTTATATTCGTGAGTTTTCTTACCCTTTAGAATTTATCTGTAAATCCCAGACCCATTCTGGGGTTTGCAGTGAACAACTGTGGTCAAAGCCTGAGTGGATAAAACTTCAGGTTCAGTGATGTGTGTGTTCTCAGTCGAGGTTGGACAAGGGGCTGTAAAACATCCCGCGTCCTTTTCACAGTTCACACAATGGAAACAAGTGTTCGTTTTGTGATCTGTTTGGTGCCATGATTTATTTTCTTCATTTATGAGCTTTTTGCTGATGATGTCACTGTTTAAAATGCCCCATACTCCATATGCAACAATGAGCTACTCTCCATGGTCCCTATATAAAAAGGATGTGATGGAAAAAAAAAAAAAACAACCCAAGAGTCCGGTTGTGGTGGTGCAGCCTGGTGGTGGCGGCATACTCCTTTAATCTTTAATCCCAGCACTTGGGCAGCAGAGGCAGGTGTGAGTTTGAGGCCAACATGGTCTACAGAGAAACCCTGTCTCAAAACAAACCAAAAAAACAAAAACCAGGGTGTGATGTATTTTCCAGAGAAAAGTACGAGAATTATAGGGTTTTGCTCAAGCATGTGTTACAGTGGCATTGAACACGAGCTCAGTATCGATTAATCAACGATACCTATAGTGGCTTTAAACAGAAACACATGGCTCGCAGCAGTTTAGTATTTATAAATTAATTTTATATGTAATCCAAAATTTACCATTTTAATAGTTGTATATGTACAACTTTATGGCATTAGATATTGTCAAATAGTTCGGTCATCAACACCATCCATCCCAGAACTCTATTAATCATGCCAAACTGAAACTCTGCATCACTGAGAGTATTTCCGAAGCTCCCTTTCTGCCTCCCATTCTGCCTTTCACTCCTGTCTCTCCTGCTCCTCTAGAAACCTCTATAAAGACATATTTATCTTTTCATATCTGGATTATCTCACTTCATCAGTAGCTTGATTATAATTAATGGCTGACTTAAGACACTGTCTTTTAGAGCAAACATCTAGCTTGTATTTTATAATCTCAGTTAATTCTTAAAGAACTCTGCACTCCAGCAAATTATAATTCTATCTCACCAAGAATTTCTTTACGGTTCACAATCTTTTTGTGAACTATTTTCATCTCACTTGTATTATATGGACTTTATAGTCTTTGCTAGTCTCTTAATAGAATCAAACCCTGTTGGGTCACCCATGACATATAGCATGCTAATTTACATGCTCTGCTTTGGTACACTGTAACTTCTTGGAGAAAGTATTGAGTCTTTTTTAAGTGACCAGAACTGAAAACGTAACAAAATTGCCCTTAGCTAGGCTGGACCTCATCAAGGTATTGGGGGGGGACATGCATAGGCCCTTAGACCTATGCCACAAAATCCTGACACTAATCCTCTGGAGGTCTCGGTGAGCATCAGCGCGGTCTGTCTTTATGCATCGTGTGCACAGGACAGCACACACAGGAATACTGTACTGGGAGGGTGCTGAGGTAGCTACGGCAGGCTGCACGGGGCGGGACAGACGGCTGGCTGCGTTCTCAAGGGGCTCCCGCTTCTTGCCCGTTCATTCCCGCGCACACAGGCACAATCCTCTTAGAGGAAATGTCTGGGAGTCGGTGGCCTTTCCCTCCTTGTGAAATACGACGGCGCTTGTGGTTCTTCATTACGAGGGCCGATGGGTACAAAGGGATCAGGGCCTCTACCCACGCAGACACAAAACACAACACCGCATTTGCTCAGCCTATGGTCCGCCGAACTTGCGTCTCTTCCCAGCATGCCCTGGGACTCACCGCGAGACTTCAATTAATTCTCGCGAGATTTGCCGGGCAGCCATCTTCTTGGGGGTGCTGGAAGCCGGGAAGACCCCCGAACCGTTCCCATTGAGCCGCCCTCCGTTCTCGCCCGCTTTCACTCCTGCTCTGCGGCGTTGCCAACAAGCACCTAACCCCAGAGCTGAGAGGAACGCCTGGGTCTCAGCGCGTCCGGCTGTCCTTCGGGAAGATTCATTGGGGGGAGCCGGGCAAGGGGGAGGGCCCGGGGAAACCGTTGCTGCCTCAGCCCCGGGCCGGGGGCCGCCGACGGGAAGCTCCCGGCCAGCAGGTGGGCGCGCGGCCTGCGGCGGCCCCGCCGGGCTGCTGGGCGAGCTCGGCTCGCGGGGACCTGCCACCGGCACCTCCCACCGCGGCCCACGCGGACGGACGGCGCGCGGAGGAGGGGGCGGCGGCGGCGGCGGTGGCGGTGGCCGCGACCGCGACCTGGGCGAGCGCAGGAGTGTGACCGGCCTCGGGGCCGCGGTGGATGGTTTCTAAGATGATCATTGAAAACTTCGAGGCCCTCAAGTCCTGGCTCAGCAAGACCCTCGAGCCCATGTGAGTACCCCGGGGAGCTGTCCTTGCAGGCATGGCGGGGATGGCCCCGGCGGATGCCCAGGTCGGTGCAGTTGACCCGAAATGCCCGTGGTGGGGGTCGGAGCGAATAACGGGGGTCCTAGGGTTCTGCTGTCTCCTCTCCCTCCACCTGATCGAGGGCGCCCAGGCTGGGACTGTGCTTGTTTTTTTTGTCGTTGAACCGATCTTTGCACCGCTGTCTACTGCTTTTGTTTTCCCGTTACGTGTAGACTGATGGCAAACTTCCCCAGACACCTGTGTTTTTCGAGGGCCTTCACGTCGGTTTCTTCGCCCTCCAGGGCTGCTAGCGTGTGATCCTGGCCGTAGCTTATTTGACATTGTTTCTTTAAGCGAAGTGAATGGCTTCTATGGGGGCAGTCCGAGTTTAAACGAGGTTTCCCTTACGGTCCCTTAAAAGAAAGGCCACGTCTTCCATGTGGTGTCTGGCTCATACGCACCTCTTTTAACTGATGGAAGATGTAACAGGTGCTGATGTGCCCAGTAGAACTCCCCTGTTCCACTCACGCCCTACTCACGTGGAGAAGGGAAAAAGTCAAATCTCTATCCATATGGGATATTTAGCAGTTTAAGGAGGGAATTCAGTAGTTCGTGCGACTGTTGAAATGTCTTAGATGGAAAATTTCTAGGAATGTTTTGTGGATTTGTTAAATGCAAAATACAGCATAGATAAATTTCTTTTCGGTATGATTGATTTACAATAACAACACAATGCAGCGGCAGATAGCTCACCCATATAATACACGTCTTAAGTTTTTAGAGTGTGCTGAGGGAAGGTTTGGGTAGAACTTTAAAATTCCCAGATTAACAGTAAGATACCATTTCAGGTATGGCTAGTTTTAACCATTTTAATAGTAGAGGATCGTGTATATGTGGTTAGGATGGAGGCTGCTTCAGCACTTGCTGGGAGCTGTCTGAGCAAGTAATATTTAACAAACTAAGATGATAAGATGTGGTAGTCGGAAGAATGGAAAGGCCTGGTATAAGACATAATCCTTGTGGTTTCTGTAGAGAAGGGAGGAAAGACAGTGAAATTACAAGCAGGCAGGGGCCAAATCATATGGGGCTTTTAGATCAAGGTCAGGAATTAAGATTTTATTTAACACATAAGTGAAAGATAGTCTATTTGAATCTGGCCAGGACTGATTTGACTTTAAAGACGCCTGCTTTGTAGAATGAAGGGAGGCTGTTTTGAGGGTATTGGAGAAAGACTGCATTGGATGCTAGTGCAGTCAGAACCAAATGTACTTCACAATGATCTGAGAAAACTTGCTGATAGAGCAGATGTGGGAGATAGGGAAAGGAAAATCAAGTATGATGCCCGAAGTTAACTCTACAGCTGCATGGATGATGTAGAAGGCTGGGGTGGAGTTATTAACTTGATCAATACAGTAAGTTAGAAGCTCTTAGATTTGGCAAGGTGGCAAAACAGTTGACCAGAATGGTATAGAAATTCTATTTCAGAGAGCTGGAGGGTATGCAGAGCCAAAGACTAAATCTTCACTACCCTCTACCTTCAAATAAAAAAGACATTGTCTTCAGTGGATTGGAAAGTAACATCTAACAGGTGAGAGGGAGGCCCCGAGCTTAATGATAGTTTTGAACTGTGCAGCTACCACTCCGGCGAGTTGTATAATATTGGATAAGTCGCTTAACTCGGTGCATGTTTCCATTTGTAAAATGGGGAAAATAATGAATATATATATATAAAGAAAATCCAAAATACTGCCTGGTTTGTAATTAGTATGTTTCAAACCAACTTTCTTTTGTTAGTTCATGTTTTTTCACTAACCTAAAATATATATATATTCTTAGTGTGTATGCTTTTTAATTAAAGAAAAGCATGCTTACTGGAGCACTACTCAGATGCTGTTAGTTCATGATTACAGTAAACAGTTACTGCTAGTAGAGTCTACTCAGGGGCCCTTTCTTATGTTCATTGTACAATTTAGCTTCTTTTAGTCTCCATGTGTTCTCTTTTCCGCTAGGTGATAACTTACAAAAGCTTAATTATTTACTGCCGTTGGCTTCTTTTTCTTTTCTTTCATTTTTTTTTTTTTTAAGACAAAATTTCTCTGTGAAACAGTACTGGGTATTCTTGAATTTACTCTGTAGTCCTGGCTGGCCTCTGCCTCCTGAGTGCTGGGATTATTAATGGTGTGCGCGCCCCTCCCTGCCAATGGTTTCTTTCTGTTTGTTTGTTTTCGAGACAGGGTTTCTCTGTGGCTTTGGAGCCTGTTCTGGAACTAGCTCTTGTAGACCAGGCTGGCCTCAAACTCAACTAAGATCCACCTGCCTCTGCCTCCTGAGTGGTGGGATTAAAGGCGTGTGCCACCACCGCCCAGCCCCCCATTGATTTCTTTTTTTTTTTAATGATTTTTTTTGTTTGTTCATTTTTTGCTTTTGTATTTGTTTATTGTTTGTTTGTTTGCTTTTGATTTTTTGAGACAGGGTTTCTCTGTTTCTTTGGATCCTGGAACTAGCTCTTTTTTTTTTTAAAAAAAAAGATTTATTATTTATTTATTATGTATACAACATTCTGCATCCATGTATGCCTGCAAGCCAGCAGAGGGCACCAGATCTCATTACAGATGGTTGTGAGCCACCTTGTGGTTGCTGGGAATTGAACTCAGGACCTCTGGAAGAGCAGCCAGTGCTCTTAACCACTGAGCCATCTCTCCAGCCCCCCCCCCCCCTTTGATTTCTTATGTTCGGTCCTTTGTTCCTCCCTCCTTCCCTCTCTCCCTCTCTTCATTTTTTGATTTTTCAAGAGAGGTATAACAGCTCCGACTCAACTCTGTCTGGAGGTCTCTTTGTAACCCAGGTTGGCCTAGAAATGCCTGCAAAGTGCTGGGATCAGCTGGGATCAGAAGCGGGTGCCACCACCATAGGGTGTCTGTCTTTTTGTTTTTTTGTTTTTTTTTTTTTTAATGTAAAGAGTTGGTTTTTTTTTTTTTTTTTTTGCTTAGTGTTGACATGTAATTATAAAATACATACCTTTTGAGGAAAAACTATATGAAGGGAACTTTATATAGTTTTTGGCTATCATGATAGTAAAGTATTTGATTTATTTATTTTTTTAACTAATCTGAATTGTGAATGCATTAGCAAACTTTTAAGTACTTACTCTGTACTAATCAGGGTGGGAAATGTGGCAAGGTTTTCATCAGTTAGGGAAGACAGATGCTGAACAAGTAATTATAGTAGTGTGTGAGGTAAAGAAGTCCAAAATGCTTTGGAAAGACATTGGGTGGAGGTCAAGAAAGACTTCTTTGAAATGGTAAAATTAGATCTCAGCTGGGATGAAGAGCAGCTTTCTAGGTTTTGGAGAGCATATTGTATGAATGTCCTAAAAATGAGGTGGGGTAAAATTGTGTGGAAGTAATGAAAGAAATTGAAAGAGCAAAGGAAGAATAGAAATGGTTGGTGATGGGAGACGAGCCAGGTCGTACAATTGAGTCTTTTTTAGGAAGCCTGTAAAGGGTTAGGTGAGTTTGGAGAGTGATGGGGAGTGAGGTGCCCCTGAGAGCCTGGCTGCATTTTCAGGCACAGTGACAAATGTGTGTATCGCTTTATTCCATTAGACACTCTGTAGTAGCAGAGTTCTGTTCTTCACAAATCATTGAGAATTTAGATACTAAAATTCCTCTTGAAGTACTTAGAATTGTTATCTTTTGATTTCAACAATTTTCTTAGTTCTTTCCTTACTACTAATGTCCTTTTGGTAATGTGAAATCCTGACACCCCCTCCCTGCAAATAAGGTATTTGTGATAGTGTTTCAACCTTGAAGTTAGCATATAAAGTAGTGGGCTTTTTAATGGCATTGGCATTTCCATATATATGTATTCCTTTACCCTGTTTTCACCCTCTCCCCACCTAAGATCTCCTCTCTCTCACATGGTCACTTGTCTGCCTCCTGAGTGCTGGGATTAAAGTTGTGCGACACCACTGCCTGCCTGTCATTTGTTTTCTTGATCCTGGCCATTCTCCTTGGGGTGAACCAGAGTCTTGAAGTCAGTAGTCCAATTCAGGTATTTTCCTACTGCTATACACTTCGTATTTTGAGACAAAGTCTCTCATTGGACCTCGAGCTCCTTGATTTGGCTAAGGTTAGTTGGCCAACCATGCTCTAATTTGTGTCTTCATACTTTTAAGGCAGACGTTTTACCGATCTCTGCAGTCTCCTGAAAGCATTTTAAGTCGTTTCTTTAATGGCTAAGGATATTTATTGGCCATTTGTATTTCTTCCTTTGAGAACCATTTCTTCATTTGTGGACTTGTTTGTGGGGATTTGGTTTTTGTAGTCCTTTATATAATCTAGGTAACTCCATCTGAAGTACAGTTGGCAATTTCTTTTCCTATTCTCTAGGTTGTGTCTTCACTCTGGTAATTGTTTCCTTTGCTGTGCTTCTATTTCAGGTAATCTCATTTGTCAATTCTTGGGATTATTTCTGCTGTTAGAGTAGTTTTCAGTAAGTCCTAGCCTGTGCATAAATCTTAAAGGGTTTTACCTACTTTTTCTCTTTTTTTTTCTTAATAGAAAAAGTTTCCTTCACTAATTTTTTGTGGGCTTATTACCATATGTGGTAATTTAAAAAATCAGATTTTTTTAATATGAAGGGATTCCTCAAAATACAATCAAATCCTTTAATTTTTCAGAAAATAAAACTGAGAGACAGACTAGTGCTCAGACTTTGGAGTTTAGTTTTTGCTTCTGCAGCTGTGCATTGCTGTGAAAGTCGGTTGTGTGGAGGAAAGAAAGCAAACGTGACCTCATACACAGTGTTCTGTCAGTGTTCTCATTTCTGCCATCAGTTAGCCTAGTGATCTAGACAGGTGAACCTCTCTTTCCTTACTGATAGAATTGGGGAGGATAGTTTCTTTGTATAGTTAGAAGAGAATTAGACGCTTAAGATTCTGCTGTCTTTCCTCCTTCCTTAAATACTGCTTGATTAAATACAAATAGCTTACATAACTATTACTGCTACCACTAACATTTGTGTGTATTGCTAGTGTTTCCTATTCCTTTTTATTTGATGGAGTGTTATCTCTGTTTTGCAGGTGATGATGACAGTGAGGCACTGAAGTGTGAAGTTAAATATTAGTTCACAGTTAATTAAGTTTAAGCCTTATTTATGCTCTAGAGCACCAGTTTTCAACCTGTGAATCTCCACCCTTTCAGGGGCCGAATATCTCTTTCATGGGGGTCTCCTAAGACCATTGGGATTCATAACAGTAACAAAATTGCAGCTATGAAGAAGCAATGAAAATAATTTCATGGTTGGGGTCACCACAACATGAGGAACTGTACTAAAGTGTCACAGCATTAGGAAGGTTGAGCGCTGCTTGATTGAGCTGAACATGCACACTCCAAAGCGTGGTAGTGTGGATAATATTTTCTTTCCAGTGGTATACTTCCTTTTTTAACTATTGGACTCTTTCACAGGAACCCATTTGAAAAGGAACAAGATTCTAAAAGCATTACACACAGTTTGAGAGATACCTCCTCGGAGTTTTTTTTTTTTTTTTTTTTTTAATTTTCGAACAGGGTTTCTCTGTGGCTTTTGGTTCCTGTTCTGGAACTAGCTCTTGTAGACCAGGCTGGCCTCGAACTCACAGAGATCCACCTGCCTCTGCCTCCCGAGTGCTGGGATTAAAGGTGTGTGCCACCACCGCCCGGCTCCTTGGAGTTTTTGTAGTACATTTTTTTTTTATATTTGCTACTAACAAATACTTTAAAAAAACTCTTTAAAATTTATTTTTTATATCTTGAATTATGGAAAGATTGTTCTTTTGTGATGCACAGTGACCTTTTTACCCCCGAACATTAATTAGATTTTCTTCTTAATTTTCCCTTACGGCAGAGTAGCAGCTTTGGCATAGTGAGTCTGCTTGCTATGTTAGTGAAAATAGCAGAAACTATCCCCGTACTTTTCTTACAATTGCCTTCTTGCTGGTTTCTACTTATATCCTATTTTATTAGCATCTAATTTCTGCAAAGCTACACTTTGTGATTCTCTGTTACATTGTTTATATTGGCCCCCTTTCTCCCATTTTAAATTCATTGACAGCTTACTCAATGTTGATTATTTTGCCTTTATTGAATGTGAACAAGGTCTGTTAAAGATGACAAAATGGACTCTTAGGACCATTTAGTAGCACACCTTACTGGCTTGAATATGATAAATGATTCTCAAGACCATATTCTGTTGCTGCAATCTTATAGGAATATATAACCAGTAGGTAATGGTGATGGACTCCAAATGAAGACATTTTGATTCTGAAGCTTTGTGTGATGGTGCCTCCTGACTTTAGATGTTGTTTATGTATATGTGTTGTATGTCAGTACTAAAATAGAGATCTGATATGAACTATTTTCTCCAGAAGCTTTTTTGGGATCCTTCTAGTTGGGGATTGTGACTCTTTCCAACAAAACTCTTTAATCGGTCTTACATAACTTATTATGTGCATCACATGCGACATACATGGTTTAGCATCATTGTTGGAATCTGGCAGGTGAAAGCCGACTTTTTCTCTTGCAGTTTGTCTTCCTGTTCTAGGTAGCACCTAGTGTGTGTGTGTGTGTGTGTGTGTGTGTGTGTCTATGACACAGACTTCAGTATTAAATGCATTCAGTGAAGTTTCTCCTTTGTTGACTGAAAATCTGAGTGACAAGCTCGTTTGTATAAAACTAAAATCTACACTGATAACTTTCAGAGTAGCTGACATGAGGGGTCAATTTCTCTTTTTATTTCAGCATTTTAAACACCTTTTGCTTATTTGTGAGTGTGCCTAGGCACCGGTACATGGTGGTGGTTAGAAGACAGCCTGTAAGAGTGATTCTGGGGGTTGGACTCAGGTCATCAAGCTAGGTGACAAGCACCTTTAACTCCTAACCATCTTACCATAAGCCTCTTTATTTCAGAGTGCCTTCAGAATTAGAATGTTTTTCCATTTTGTTTTGAGACAAGGTTTCACTTTGTAGCCTAGTAGGCTGGCCTCAGTTTTCCCAAAATCTGGAATTTACACCAAGCTCAGATTAGAAATTTAAAGCTTAAATTTAGTTAAAATAGTTTAGTGATTTTTTTTTTTGATGAGAGCACCGATGAGTTCATGTTTACTAAAAAAAAAGTTGAGGGTTTCTGTGTTCAACATTCTGTTCATGGAGCCGGATAAAAGTAATAATTCTAATTATATATTAATTTTAGTTAGTGGAAGAGTTAATACTGTGTAATTAATTATTGGCCATGATGCTTATATTCATTACTTTCTGTATCTCCTTAACTTGATAAATGGCTCTCAAGACCATATTTTATTGCTGAATACTACTTGAATTTTCCATTTGAAGTTTGAGTTACTAAATTTAGACCTTTTAAAATGCGTTTTAGCAATTTGACTGGCCTATGGGTATGTCTCGAATAAAATTACTTAAAAACCACAAGATAGGGAAAGGTTTGGGAGCAAAATGGATATATTACCTTGTTTGATGTGTACCTATTGAAAATGGCCAAGTCAAGCTCAAACAAATTTCTCAGCTTTTTTCCTTCCCTTGTTCCAAAGAGAATGAATGAGATGAAGGAGGTGGTGATAAGCCTGTCTTACCAGATTTATTTCTTTTCACTACCTTATTTTTGTGAGAAAACCATATTTTTAGTGTATGCCTTAGTTAGGGCTACTATTGTTGTGATGAACAATCATGACCAAAGGCAGCTTGAGGAGGAGTTTATATGGTTTACATATCCTGGATTACAGTCACCATGAGGGAAGCCAACCAGGTGGGAACCTGGAAGCAGGAGCTGATTCAGAGCCCATGGCAGTGCTGCTTACTGGCTTGTGTGCCGTCTTATAGAACCCAGGACTACCAGCCCCGGGAAGTCCCTGCCTACCGTGGATTTGGCCCTCCTCCATTAATCATTAATTAAGAAAATGCCCTCCAGGCTGGCCCGCTTTCACCCAGCTTCACAGTTGAGGTTCCCCCTTGATATGACTAGCTTGTGTCAAGTTAACGTAAAACTAGCCAGGACAGTGTTCAAATAATTTTGTACCAAGGAAAAGCTTATTTTTAATTTGGTTTCTGTTTGTAAACAGTAAAATCAGTTTGAGATTTCTTAGTGCACCTTTCTGAAATTTTTTACTTACATATAAACAATATTTTATAGTTTTCACTGGTGAGGTCTTACAAAGATTTTTTTTCTCCCATGTCTTATAACTAGCATTTAAAAATTTCACTTTGCAACTGTTATTAGTATTTAGAAATATAATTGGCATCTAAATATTGACTTGTTTTCTGAAACATTTGGCTTGCTTCAGATTAATTAAGATTGCTTTTTAGTGGGAGGTCTTAAAGACCTTTTAAAATGACACTATAGGTGTGAACTCTAAAAGGATAGTGGGAACTCAATTCCTTTTCTTCTTTCTTGTTCACTTCTCAGCCATGAAGTAAGTGGGCACTTCCTGTTTTGCCATGTGGTCTCACCATGATGTGCTATCCTGCCATAGGACAAAAAGCCTCTTTTGCAATTGTGTGGGCCCCACTTTAAGGTACTCATCTAATCCTAATTACTTCTTAAAGGCCCACCTGGTTCCACATCATAATGCCTCACAGTGCGGATTAATTTCCCCTTTTTGTAGAGACACCTAAGCCATAGCAGGTGAATAATGTTTAAGAAAAATCAGACAATTCCTTAAGTTTTTTTAAAGTTAATCACTGTACAGTAAGAAATGAATCAGCCTGTGTTCTATTAAGTCAAGCCTTTATAAAATATTTACAAAAAATATGAAACACTTTTACTCAGTTTTTTAAAATACAATATTTAATTTCTACTGAGGCTGTCTGTCCTGGTGTTCTGAACATTTCTTAAGCCAGATACATGTAAAGCCAGTACTACCTTTGGATTTACAATTACTACATCAAAGAAGTCTTCCTCTTAATTACTTAAAAGTATTTATGCTAATGTTAGTTTTTAAAATAATGATACTGGTAGAACACTTAAGCTCCTTGGAGTTCTAATAGTTAAAGCATGAGTTGTAGCACGAATAATAAAAACCCAGAGACAGATATTGGGGCTCAAGCTAAAGATCAGAAAAACAAAGCAGCCAACCACTAGAGAAACCTTTTATCTACCAAATCTTCAGACAGAAAGGGTGAGATCCTCTCTCCATGAATCCTCAGACTTCATCCCACACTGAGTTCCTGTCCTCTCCACCCATTCATATCAAGCCTGTCTCTGCCTCCCTAGTGCTGGGATTAAAGGTGTGCGATCCCAAGTGTTGGGATCACCTTTGTGTGAGCTGTTTCTCTTTTAGACAGATTCAATTTTGTGTAGCCCAGGGTGGCTTTGAACTACAGAGACCTGTCTGCCTGTCTTGTGGGTCCTGGGAGTAAAGGTGTGTGCCACCACTTCCTGGCCTCTATGGCTGATTAGAGCCATAGATTTAGAGCCTCTGATTTTCAGGCAAGATTTATTTATTAAAACAAAAATAATATATACCACTATATAGAGTAATTCTTAGAAAGCATTTGAAGAACCGTTCTTAGAAAAATAAGAAAATACTGTTTCTTGGGCTTGTTTAGGGGAGTGACAAAATGAACTAAAGTCCAAGTATTATGTTATAATTATGAGAATTGTGTTATGCTTTGGCAGTGTGTGGATTTAGTGAAAAACTGTAAAACACCGAATGCAAGTTGAAAAAGACATTAGAAGATAAAAAGTCCTTGTGTTTACAGATGGGCTATATTATTGTAAAACTATTACATCTGCAGCCAGTAGCCTTTTAGTTACCGCCCACTTGGGTGTGGCCTCATGCTATCAATGCTGAAATAAAGCACGCGGTTGCCCCCTTCTGGCTGCGGGATTTGGTTGCTGTTTCCCATTTGACCTGTGACCTGTGTGTGTACTCCTAAATAAATAACCCTTTATTATATCAATTCTGAGTTATGTGGGGTTTTTTTTAGTGTCCATCTTTATCTGGCGCCCAAAAGTTACCAAAAGTAATTACCAACTACAGATTTAACATAATAGACATTAAAATTCAATTGACATTTCTTGTAGAACTAAAAGAAAAATCCCACAAATTCACATGGGAGCAAAAAAGATAAAAAGCTGGGTGGTGGTGGCACACGCCTTTAATCCTAGTACTCAGAGGCAGAGGTAGGCAGATTTCTGTGAGTTCCAGGCTAGCCTGGTCTACAGAGTGAGTTACAGGACAGGCTTCAAAGTTACACTGAGAAACTGTCTTGAAAAACAAAACAAAACAAAAGGTCAGATCAACTGGAGGTAACGGGTTAAAAATGGAGATACAGCAATCCCTGATTTAAAGTTATACTCAGAGCTGGGCGGTGGTGGCACACGCCTTTAAGCCCAGCACTCAGGAGGCAGAGGCAGGCGGATCTCTGTGAGTTCGAGGCCAGCCTGGTCTACAAGAGCTGTCTCGAAAATCCAAAAAAGAAAAAAAAAAAAAGTTATACTCGGAGCCACAGTCAACAACAAAAACTGGTAGAGTACCCACAGAGGTCAATTTACATAGGCATGGCCATCTTATTCTTATTAAAGGTATTAAAAATGGTGTTGTAGTTAAAAATGGCACTTTTTGTAATATATAGAAAACCAATTAGCCATATGAATAAAACTAGATTCCCCTTTATTTGTACAAAAAATAAGTTAAAAGACTGAAGACCTAATTTAAGAGCTGAAACTAAAAATACTAGAATAAAACACACGGAAAATATTTCATGATCTAGGCATAGGCAACAGTTTTCTGAGGACATGATGGGAATAACAAGAATTGACAAACTGGGTGACATGAAATCAAAAAACTTCCATATAGCAAAGAAAACAATAGAGTGAAGAAACAGCTAATAGAAGGAGGAAAAATTGCTGCCATTTGTATATCTGGTGGAATTAATATGCTTAATATATAAAAAACTCAGAACAACAAACAGTAGAAGAATAACTAATCCAGGCAGTAAATGAACAAATGAATTGAACAGTTCATAAAAGAAGTACAGACTTCGTGGTTCACTGAGATCTTAGCAAGCAGCCGCTGTTTCCTGTGCTGCCACCAAGTTTTCTACCACCATATCTTCCCCACCATGGTATGATGTGGGAGTGATTTCTTATTAATAAAGAAACTGCCTAGGCCCCTTGATAAGGCCCACCCTTAGGTGGGTGGAGAAAACAGAGGAGAATGCTGGGAGAAGGAGGCTTGGTGGAAGAGTCGCCATGGTTCTCCCGTTCCAGACAGACGCAGGTTAAGATCCTCCCTGGTAAGCCAGCTCGTGGGCTACACAGAATATTAGAAATGGGTTAGAACAATATGTAAGAGCTA